TAAACTATATTTTATAACGCTTATAACGTAAATGAAAAAAACACATAAAATGAATGAATGGGTACCAATAAATGAATGAATGGGTACCAATAAATGAATGAATGCGTACCAATAAAAATGTAAACTCTTCTTTGTTATCATCTATTTCTTTCGCCGTCAATTTTAAGATGGGATTAAAGCTACTGCTAACAATCTATGATAATTTACTATGAGATTTCGGTCAATTAACCTGATCTTATCTCACATGTGTTCAATACATTACTCACAAAATCGTGCATGGGTTGATGAAACTCATCCTCTGAGATAAAAAGAGCAAGGTAAAATCACTTTGGATTCTTATTGTTGTCATTTCTCTAGTCACTTGTACAGTATGAACTCGAGAAAATGATAAACTCAAACTCGTAATTTTTCCATATATAATAAATACATCACGGCTCAACAATAGATTCGTGATCTCAAGCCGACGAGTTTTGCACTCGAAAGTATCACCATCCCTCGGGCAGGGATGATTTGCCTTCACTTGCCTATCTTTTTTTCTCGCAACTTTCGCAATACTCGTCTTCATCATCCTGAAAGTTAAATTCAAGTAAAAATCATTAAGAAATGGCAACAACGAAAGCAAGAAATAAAGGATTTATGACTAATACTTCAAATCTTCCTTATATAGTCGGATAAAACGATACATCCTCAATGGTCAAAATAATGTCGTTCCATTGCGCCATGTACAAATATCCGTACATTCAAGTATGCAGTTTGTTCAAAAGGTAATAGTGACAACCCTTCCTCAAAATTGATCTATTAAACACATGTAACGCTCCAATGAGTAAGTCTCAGGTTAAGTCAATTTATGTCATTCTCTGAATTAAAGAGGATAAATATTGAATCTCTAAGTACCTCAAAAACCTATGGAATGTTGTACCTTCGAAAAATCAAAAAAAAGAGTACATCCTCTAGAAAACCAATGAAGAGAACTTTTAAATAAGACGAGGAACGAGGAAGCCATCCACATGCAGGCACGTGCACGTTAGAAAGGAAGCACATGGACATCTGTCACGATATTGCCGGGACACCCACGGGTGACATGAACCAATGATTTTTAACCTTTAAAGGGCATCCTGTCCTTAATTTAGTAGTAATTAACGGCCTTAATCACGCGTGGCAAAAGTGTCTTTTTACTTATTTGACCTTATCTCTTTGAAGAAAACAAATTGGGGAAATCAATGTCTAATCTTGATTAGGAGCAGGATTTAAAGACACACGTAGGCTCGTCAGTTTCTTGTAATTAAAGATTACAAGAATAATTCCCTACGTTCGCTAATTAATAATAATTTTTAATTCAAAATGGAAATTTATTAAGGGATTATTATTTATTTAAATTTGTATTTAGATAATAATGATAATTAATATTTGATTATTTATCAAAATTAAATGAAGTTAAAAATACGTATATCTCATGTGACTTATCACGTGCATATAGTTATTGGCATGAAATTTTTTTCTCTTATATATTACGTAAACAAATAAATTAAAAAATAATTATTTTAACATAAATATCTTTGAAATAAAATAACATAAAATTATATATATATATATATATGATAAGGTTCTTCCATAATTTTATAAACTTTCAATTTTTAAACAATATCTCCCTATAGAAAGGGGAAGATGATTTTTTGCTCGTAATTAGTATTAAACTCACAACCTATAGAAAATGGAAGGCGTTAACTCAAAGCTTTTAACCATTTACTCTATAGATTGTTAACGAAAACTTTTAATTTGAGATAGGTAATGTAATGTCATTTATCGCCAATTATAAGATAACATGCCATCTTCAATAATACTAAAATAACAAGAGGATCCAATATCTTTATAATATTTTATGATTTATATTATTATTAATATATTTTTTATAATTATTTAAATGTTATTTTTATCATGTAATGACTAAAATCCAAATCAAAAGACCTAATTGTCCCAAACATAATTCCATATATCTAAGGCAAGCCCTAGAATCCCAAATCTATGTACCAAACCTAAACCTATTGCTAAACAAACCTGAATCCGGAAATTCATATGCATGTCAAAATTCAGATTGAGTCATCTAACGTGATCAAACCCCTCTAACTTCCTATTTCACGTATCTCAATAATCGTTTCCTACAAATCTCTTGGTTCCTTTCAACTGCTAAAGATCAAACCCACCGGATTCTATATGGATTGCATATAAAAGGAAGTTACAGAGAGAAAGGAGAAAAAGAAAGACTTGTATTTGACTAAAGTCGACGTACATGATCCATGCCATTTTGAAGTTTATTGGGTAATTTAATTGTAACCCTCTTGCTTTTTATTTATTATAATTAAGTCCCTTTTTATGTAATTTAGCTTTTATTTTGACCCTTTCAAGTTTTGTGTTGTTCAATTTAGTCATATTTTGCGTGTTTAGGCTTTGAATTTTGGATTTCACCCAAATATTTTGAATTTTGGATTTCAAGCATGTAAATGAGATAAATATTTTGCGAAACGAAATGGATGACTTAAAATATGTGACATTGCGATTTTTTATAGACAAATATTGACTATTGGTGGTATAATTTCAAGTATAATTTGATAGTCAAATTATCTCATCTGCATGGTAAATTTACGATTGATAGTCAATGAATTTTAAGTCCCCAGATATGTGATATGTTATTATTTTAAGTTTTTCAGGCTTTGTCTTGTCTAATCCAGACTGATTCTAATCGCACATCAAGTTTTGATAAGCATACACAAATACTCAAATTCAAGATGTACTTAATCGATATCAAGTTACATATCACTTGAACAAACATTGTTGATAACTTCTTATTATATTAATTTATTATTTTGTAAAAATATATTTTTTAAGCCATCAAATAAATTAGATATTAAATATATTTTCAAAACGTTAATTAATTAAGATAATAAAAGTATTTTTATTGAATATTATGAAACCCTATTTGGGGACTATTTTTTTTTTGGGGGGGGGGGAGTTTTGTAGGGTAGATGTTAGGCATAGGACATAGGCTAGTTGGATAGCTTTTGCTTTTGGCCTTTTATAAAGGGGTGAGTTCGGGTCCCATTAACTAACCCTTCTTCTCTTTGGCCTCAGAATTTCATGATGATCCGACGGTCACGACTGATTTTTCTCCAAGTATTGGACGGTACCTATGGGAATTGAAAAGATGCTTCATGTTTCCAACCGTCTTATCTATGCTTTCTGATATCGACACGTGTAAATTCAGTTGTTATCTAGACCCTTGTCACCATTCACATAAACATATTACTATATGAATTGGATGAACGAATAAGCCTCTCCAGTCCTGAGCATTTTTAGCACTCGATAGGCACAATTAGCCGCTAACCATACGAGTGAGAACCACTTTTAACGCTTCATTTCTTTTTATTTAAACCAAAAATTATAATCAATAATTTTATAGATGAAAAGAGAATAATCGAGTGGAAGATGACTATAAGCATTCATCAATAGAGAAAAATGTAAAGAGGGAATTCAAGATAGAGAAAAAGAGTCTCTTCTTAAGTTATGTGATATTAGATTAGTGTTGAATAGATGATGATAGATATTTATAGGTTAACGAGATAAACATTATTATAAGATATTTATAGGTTATATAGACAGAGTTTGTCTGTAGGACCCTTGTCACCATTCACATAAACATATTATTATAAGATAGTAGATTGTAGATCACAGTGGTGACGTTAAAGGATTGTAGTTGTCTAAAAGATATAAAATTTTAGAGGTTTCAAGAAATTCTAGAGACCTTAACGTTCGATAGACGAAGGAATGGTAATGTGAGCGTAATTAAAAAAATACTTCATGAATGGAGTTGGATTGAAATTCAACAAGTTGGAATTATTTTGGGTAACCCTAATCAAAACATAAAGAGGATCTAGGACTTGACAAAAGGGCTTGGATTACAACACTCTTCAAACACGAAAGAAGCATCTATGTTATTTCCTTCTTGTATTTATTTATTATTTATTGAAAAGAAAAATATTGATGTAAATCGTTGGATGACATGGATGTCTAATCCATGCACTTGGAGCTGCTGTTGGTATTCAAATGTCTAAAGAAGCCTGATCCGACCCAGATCAATGCTAAAATCTCCAATCCAACACTTTATACATAGCGACCACAAAGCTTTATAAAAAAAACTAGTTGGTTATCCCTAGCATCAGATGTTGTTCTGACAGGTTTTGTAAGGGCATCTCCAATGCTTCTCTACATTGGAGAATTTCTCTAAAATAGAGAGCTCACAACTCTCCAACACTGCGTTAGATCTGGCGCTACTGTAGCTCGCGCTACATTTTAATTTTTTTAATTAAAATATATTAAATTATAAGATAGATAAAAATACATTAAAATTAAATAAATAATCATACTATTTTTTTTGTATTTTTTCAGATTTTTTGTAATTTTTTTTATATTTGTAAAATTAATATTATAATAGTTAAATATTGTGAATAAAGTAATTTTTTTTATATTTGTAAAATTAATATTATAATAGTTAAATATTGTGAATAAAGTAGAGTTGATGGTAATGTAGTTAGAAATGAATTATTGTTTTATATTTAGAGTAGAGATAGAGATATTGTAGAGTAGAGATGAAGACTGGAGATAGCCTAAGTCAACTTCGGTAGCCACCGCAAGCTTCAATGGTAAAGGCAAATTTTGAGGTCTTTGGCTCCACTTTTGGAATGAATATATACACTGATATGGATATACTAAAACGTCTTCAACAAATTAGCTACGTATTATTTGTTTAGCTATGGATATATCTGGTTAGAATAAGGATGAACGATTTGATACTTTCGATGGTAGAAAAAGATGAATTTTTGAAGGTAAGGATTTAATTCGGTAGGGAAATGGACTATTATAATTGGAGATTTAGCTGGTTAGAGAATTTCTCGACATAATTTAAATATCTAACTTGTATAAACGGAAGCATCAGTCAAAAAATGAAATTCAAAGAAAAGGGTGAGCATGAGAATTACCTATTTCAAATACCTTAACAAGTTCCAGTGCCAATTATGATCGAAACAGCTATGGTGGTTCAAAAAAGAATTACAAAATTATAGCAAAAAAACTACAGATAATAAGCATAACATCATGGATACCCACCACTTAAAACCTCCTTCCGGGTCCACCACCACGACCGAACCCGATTTGGGGAGCCGCAACAGCAACCGGGTCGACCTTAACAAGCCCGGGGATATCACCCATCCCAAGAACCGAAAGCATGTCCAGAGTTTCTTTATCAACTTCGATTTGATCAACCTTGATGGCCGATTCATCGGGGACAAAATCCATGCGACGCTCGCGCTCTTCCTCCTGCAGCTTCAAAGAGATTCCACGAACCGGACCCTTCTGGATCCGCTTCATCAGGTGGGTAGAGAACCCGGCGATCTTGTTGCGGAGCCGCTTCGATGGGATGATGGCAACTTCTTCAATGATCTTCTTGTTGGTGTGGAAATCGAGGGTCATCCGAGAGTAGTACCTCTCGATCACTTGGCGAGACGATTTCTTCACCGTCTTGGTGCGGACGCGGCCCATGGTTTGGAGCGGCGATTTGCCGACTGGAAAACGATAACTTGATGGGGGGCTAGGGTTCTCGGTTTCGAACTGTGAATTAGGGTTTTTATATGTTGTGTTTATAGGTTGCAGAACTTTTTGGGTAGGGTTTATGGTTCAGTTTCCTCATTAGGGTTTCGCTTTAGCCCAATTACAAATAACTCGAAAATGAATTTATATTTAACTTATTTATCTGGAATTCATTGAGTGTATTCTTAGTGGACGATAAAAAAGAATGTTATTTTTATTAGAATTTTTAAGTTTGAATAGTTATATTCATAAAATATATATGTTGTCAATTGATTAAAAAATTATCTAAATAAATATTATTTTGTCTTCACTCTAGACTATTAAAAATATATTTACCTAACCCAAGTAATTCGTGTATTTGTATAGTATATTTATATCATTTACATCATGCTTATTATGTTTATATGTATTTAATTATTTTGAATAAGAATTTATGTTATTGTGATATATTTTTCTCTGTTTTTGTGGCATGATCCTTATGGCTTTTGATACGTTTGTTGCGTACCTTTGCAATTGTTTTGGTGTTTGTACAAACACCATCACGCATTTATTTTCTGATTGATTTGTCGATGATCACGTATAGTCATATTTCCTCTTTGATAAAAGGTCGTTTGTCGATATAATCAAAATTGTGTAACAAAACAGTCTACTATATAGTTTAGTTCACTCACCACTCCTTTATCACTTCGTAAAATGACTCGTTCGACAGAGACAAAGAGATTTTATGAAAATTACTGTAGTTTTTTATGTTGATCGTCATTCACAAGAAAAATTTTGTTTTTCTTCGCATTTTTGAGTTTAATATTTTTTGTATGATTTATTTTACTATTTTCTTCATTTTTCACTTCATATTTTGATATATACATTTTAGGATTCTTGTACTGTATTGTCATGTTATGGGTTATTTTCCCTCAATAGTTCTATAAATTATAAACTCAGTAGGGTCGAAAATTCAATCAGACGCAGATTGACTTGGTCGATCCAAATCCAGTGGCTAAAATTACACAGTTTATACTACAAATTGCAAAAGCTCATGAGTTGCATATCCACCCTAAAAATTTGGACAAAATTTAGTTTCACGACACAATTTTAGATCACTACCAGTCCTGATAACAAAAAGTATTTAACATGGTTAAAATCCATAACACAAAATATTCCCAACAGTTTAACCAATTTCTGAATTTTACCAAATCATACCCAATCTAAATACATTTAAGTTTATTTTTTCCTGCAGGCACATTCTGAATAGAAAGATGCAGGATTAGTAGATGAATTACCGGGTATTAGCCATTGGGTTTATTGACCGTGCTCGGACTGTGCCCCACCTTGTACATCGGTGGAACCGGTCTCTGCAGCTGGTTTTGAATTGCTGTTAGGTATCCAAAATGTAAGAACGGTTGATGCAGCAACGAACATGGCCCTACGGGGAGCCCACTTCAAGCAAGCTGCAACTCCTATGTGACTGTTCCAAGCGACTACCTAGAAGTGAACACAGTAAAGAACCGGTTAGAAATATCAGTGCATGATTTAAAAATTGCTACTGCATTCTCAGACAATAAACAACCACGGCATTTTCCATAATAATAACAAAAATAATGAAAAACGGAAATGGCTCCCACGGGGGCCATTTTTCTTTCAAATTGACTCGATACATTCTAAGACATGGTTAGAACAACTTTTAACATACTCATGTTGGATACATACCTAAATCCAACATTCTCCCATGAGTCCGAGTAACATATCTCCATCAAATAAACAATCATGAGATAACAACGAAAAAGAAGGGTCTCAAGAGCAAACAAAATGGAAGTTAATAGGTTTTGCAACTGTATATGGTATATACTCTTTTCCTTGTTTTCCCCGTTTATTTAAGATAAGCAAGATAGACGGGATATGAAGCGCTTGCTAGAACTCATTATGGAAATGTATTTGTAATTCCATAGGAGACACAACAAAAAAGAGAAGATAAGCACTTAAAGAAATCGGGAGGCAGTACCTCAGAGCGCATGTTGATATTCCAGGCATGCAAGGTTCCATCCCCAGACCCTTCAATTAGTGAAAATTGAGCTAAATTACGATGTTTTCAAACTAACGAAAAACTGATACAAAAACTTGTATCTCAATACAGATAAATATTCTCAGTATTCATTATAGTTTATTTGTATGATTATTCAACGTAAGCTTCATGTAAAACATAATCACCAAATGCACATATTTTTCTTGAGGAGCAACTGGGAGGAGGAATTGGTACCTGAGATTACATACTGACCATCCGGAGTAATGGTTGCCTCTATAGTTGTATTGGGAGATGGTTCTAAACTGAATCCACATCGCTGCACAAGTTTTACATCTAAGTACTAAATCAAGACACCATACTCTGAGATAGAAACCAAGTCTAAAGAAAAAGTTGTGCTACGGTCATTCAGAAAACAACTTTTTGGGTAGGACTGATTCAGTTAGGGTAAAATAACCTTCTCTCCTCCATATGCATCCAGAACGTATATGTTGTTATTTGTGGTTGTCAATAGCATAGATTTGCCATCATTACTGAATTTGATATCACAAACCTCAGCCGTGTCTCCGCCGACTAAAAATGTATCGAAGGGGCCCTATATCAGAAGAAATAAATCAAACTTGTCACAATAATAATCCCCAAAAAACTAAGGAAAACTCATGATATTGATATCCAGAATGCATGCAAGTGCTTAATGGGTTAAAACTTAAAACCTTGTCATAGGAGCGTGAATCAAACAATTTAATAGCCCCTCCTTCCATGGCCACAGCAAAGACAAGGCCTTGTTTGGTCATATGCCACAGTAGGTCTACCACGTAGGCGTAAAATTCCCTGAAAACTACAAAGCATAAATCACATTTGTAAGATTAGATGATGAAATGCATATTAAAAACATAAGCTCATCTGCAAACCAATTTTGGCAAAAAGTCGGATAATGATAAGCACTCATTATGGAAACTTTCTTTTTCGGCTTTTTTCAGACATAATGTCCCTCAGTCTGCCTTGTTGGGGGAATGGTCTAAGGTGGAAGAATTCTTCTTTCAATTAAGCACTTCTATTTCTTAACGGAAATTTATATTCATAATTTATGAACCCTTCTTAGTACCCAACATTTGCATAAAATTCAAAGAAAACCGGAAACCAACCTGACAGGCATTTACACGGAGATCCCAAATCCTGACACTGTGATCAAGAGAACCTGACATGAAGCTATCATTTACTGGAGACATACAGAGGGAAACAACTCTGCAGCAGCAGATATGGGAAAACTTATTAGAATAGAAGTGTTTCCAAATCAATAACAGAAAATGCTGGTCAAAGAAGGTTAAAGCATTCAAAGAAGCATCTATTTAAGAACCAAAGGTTTTTCATTTTCATAGTTTTAAAATGTTCTACAAACAAATGTTGCAGATTTATATAATAAATTTAAAAACCATGCTACCTGAAGTTAAGATCCAAATCCTTCATTGAAATATTGAATAACTAAAGTAGCATTAAGCATGGGCATTCAAGTGGCTCTTTTATTCCATAACTGATTGCTTGAATTACTTACAGATCACATGTGAAACAGATCTCTTTCTCAACCTATTTCAACAACATTAATATGTCTAGAATTACCAACCTCTCTTTGTGTCCTTTGAAGTAGCGGAGACATCGGTTATCATACATAGAAAGATACCGTAGGGCCTCTGTTAACAGAAGAAAAAGAAGATACAATAACTGTTGTTTGGTTAATACACATAAGAATAAAGCTTAAATCATCCTAAGAAACTCACCTCCAGTTGATTCCAAATTGTGCCTCGTAGAGCATATAACAGAACTAGGATGATTGTAAACATATTCGATCCGCACCATGTTTCTTATGATAGTTGTCTTTATCAACCTAAACCAACATCAAAATGATATGGCTGAAAACGATCCTAACAATTAAATTTCTAATCATAAACCTAATTTCATAGCAGAGATCAACAAAACACTCAAATTCAATTCATTCGGGGAAAAAAACACTTTCTCAAAACTAGGATGGAAATGATCAACACACTAGTTGGTATGACATAACTGGGATGATGTACACCAACATTAAAACTCATGATTTGTTGTCTTTATCAACCTAAACCAATTAAAAATAATCCAAACAATTAAATTTCTAACTAGAAACCTAGTTACAATGATATGTTTTCTTTCTCAAATTAAACCAATATTAAAATGATCATTAATGCAACTAATGAAAACGATCATACACTTAATTTTTTTAACAATAAACCAAATAACAAAGATGAAATCATTGAAACACTCAAAATTAAAATCATACCAAAAGCTAAAACTCTCTCTCGAAACTTGCAACAAAAATTTTGCTATTAATTAAATCAACGAACACGTGTCTTTTTTCTCTCTTATTCCTTCTGTAGTCGATTACAGTAAAAGAAAGGGAAAAAAAAGGAAACTAACTTAGCATTGGCAATGTCGTAAAGGCGAACTGAATCGTCCTCACTGGCTGTCACCAACAGATCATCCTTCCGGTGAAAGTCAAGTGAACTTATCGTCCCTCCCTGAAAATATTTAACCAAGTAAAAATAAATCAATTTGAATATTCAGAGACGGAAATTCGAATCAGTAAGCTGAAGTGAAATACATTCCATTAATTGAATTAATGCATTAAAAGTATAAAATAGATCAAAAGTTTGGAGCAGCTGTTCATGTTTTTTATTACTTGTAATTATTTTTTTGTAGCTTAACAAGAGGTTTACTTTAATGGCGGATCTAAAAGAGAATTAAAGAGAAAAAATAGTAATGAAAATATTACGAAATCTGAGAAAACTGCGCCAACCGACATGCTGCGCACTGTTCCGTCATCAAGCTCTGTAATTGACATCGTCGTCGCCATTTTTTTTGTTTTCTTTTTTCCTTTACTTTTTGCTTTTCGAGATGGGGGGTTTTAGGATTTAGGAGGAGGTGATACGAAATAAACGACGTCGTAAAAAATGCTGTATTGACTATTGAG